GGTGGGTGAGAGGAGGTGTATTCTGGGCATCTGTGGGAGTCGGTAGGCTTGAAATGGATATCGGTTTCCAGGTGATTGCCAGAGATGTAAACAGAGAGGTCCAGGAAAGAGAGAGAGGTAACGGAGATGGTCCAGGTGAACTTAAAGTTGGGGTGGAAGGTGGTAGTGAAGTGGATGAACTGTTCGAGCTCCTCGTGAGAGCACGAGGCGGCGCCGATACAGTCATCGATGTAACGGAGGAAGAGGTGGGGGATAGGGCCAGTGTAGCTTCAGAAGAGTGATTGTTCCACGTATCCTACAAAGAGGCAGGCATAGTTTGGGCCCATGCGGGTACCCATGGCCACCCCCTTTGTCTCTGGGAAGTGGGAGGAAATGAAAGAGAAGTTGTTAAGGGTGAGAACGAGTTCAGCTAAGCGGATGAGGGTGCCAGTGGAGGGAGACTGATCGGGCCTGCGGGATAGGAAGAAGCGGAGGGCCTTTAGGCCATCTGCATGGGGAACGCAGGTGTATAGGGACAAAAGACTGCACCTCCCAGTCACGAACCATTTCAACTCCCCCTCCCACTCCTTGGACGACATGTCTATTTTGGGCCTCCTACAGTGCCACAACGATGCCACCTGAAGGTTGCAGGAACAGCATCTCATATTTCGTTTGGGAACCCTGCAGCCCAATGGTATTAATATGGACTTCACAAGCTTCAAAATCTCCCCTCCCCCGACCGCATCCCAAAGCCAGCCCAGTTCGTCCCCACCTCCCTAACCTGTCCTTCCTCCCACCTATCCCCATCTCCTACTTACTAACCTCATCCCGCCCCCTTGACCTGTCCATCCTCCCTGGACTGACCTAACCCCTCCCTAACTCCCCACCTACACTCATCTTTACTGGGTCCATCCCTGCCTCCTTGACCTGTCTGTTTCCTCTCCACCTATCTTCTCCTTTATCCATCTTCTATCCACCTCCCCCCTCTCCCTATTTATTTCAGAACCCCCTTCCCCTCCCCCATTTCTGAAGAAGGGTCTAGGCCCGAAACGTCAGCTTTTCTGCTCCTCTGATGCTGCTTGGCCTGCTGTGTTCATCCAGCTCTACATCTTGTTATCTCAGATTCTTCAGCGTCGGCAGTTCCTACTATCTCTGAATACATATTACAGGGAGGTAGTTTGGTGGAGCAAAGTTTGTTGAAGAGTTATCTCAAAAGGAGAATGACAGGTGGAAAGATGATGTGATGGAACTCCAATGCTGAAATAGATAGCTGAACACAAATGGATATGGGTAGGCAGGGGAAGGACGGGGACCTACAAAGGGGTCAAAACAAAGGGGACAAAAACAAAAACGATGACAACTTTAAATCAGAGCCATTGGCAGATAGGGGCAACTCATGAGAAAAGAGAAGACTGAGCAGACTCTGGCCTAAATACAGCTCATAAATCTTGCTCAGCCATTTTCAGTTGAACATATTTGTACAATCTGCTGGTACTTTGCAGATTTGGCTAAATAACTCTCCAGAGCTCTGTTAGATTATGCAGAGTAATGGGAATGCTGGCTGTTTAAATTGCTCAACCCCATGTTGAAAGCACTTTAAAGTTTATTTTATAACAGGTGATCAGACAATTGAATTTTGAAAGGTTTCTTTGGTTCAGCTGATGATCCCTTACCCTTACTGGCCTCCACACTCCCACAGTAGTCATGAGCGGTTTGTGTTTGAACCTGCACAGTTCTAATTCAGCGCTTCTGCATCACATCCATAAGCAGATGACACTTTCAACACTGCCAGAGAGTCTGCTGACAGCCATTCTCATACATTACTGTACGAAAAGCTCAACAGGTCAGGTAGCAAGACAAAGAAAGCTAACGTTTCAAGTCAATGAAGACCTTTCCTTGGTCTACATTTCCTAAGTTCTCAAGAAGCTCCGGAGAGAACACCCCTGCACCAATTTCATTTGAACTGAAGTGAACAAACTTATGAAACTCAAACTGCCAGAGAACAGCAAGGTTACACAGAGTTGACTCTCCTTCCAGGAATCTGGGCATGCTGCCACCACCCCCAAACAGCCCCCAAAGGATCACTGGTCCTGAACTGACCGGCATGAAACAAGCCACCCCATAGCCACAAAGAGGGAAACATGGGATTTCCAAACCTCAGTGAGGAGTTCTGCTCTCGAGCACTAACAACTATAACAGTCCCTGCATCACCACAACTGAGTACTGGTCATGGCTGGAACTGCAAGCAAACCCCAGGAAGAAGAAAACATGGATCCTGAAGAGATACTTTTGACAAGAAGGAATTTGGGAACCTAGGGAGGTTGGGGACTAATTCACGGGGGCAGGTGTCAGAGGCCAGGTGAGGAGAAATGGAGGTGTGCTGACCCTAATCCATGCAGAGCATCCCCCTCATGATGTATTCACGCCCAACATTTCAACCAAGTTGTTTTAAAAAAAGAAGTCTTTCGACTCTTGCCCGCCTGTGACTGCCCAGGATATTATGGCAGTGGGAGTGGGTTAAGGGCCATAAGCGGTAACCAGTCTGCTTGGAGTTTGGCGACAAAGATTTCAGTCATGTACGAATTTACTACTATGTTATTTTTATACTTTGTGTCCATTTATAAAATGTTTTATTTGTTTCATTCACTTACAACAGCAGTTTCAGGGTGCAAATAAATAATACATGTGTTTAGGAGATAGTAAGGACTGCAGATGCTGAGGTCAGAGCCAATAATATGTGGAGCTCGAGGAACACAGCAGGTCTGACAGCATCCGAGGAGCAGGAAAGTTGACATTTCAGGTCTGGACCCTTCATCATGACATCAGACCAGAAACATTGACTTTCCTGCTCCTCCGGTGCTGTCTGACCTGCTGTGCTTCTCCAGCTCCACACATTATCAACAATACATCTGTGTTCTTCAGGGTATTCTCATTAAGCAGGTACTCTTAACCCTCACCATTCTCCTTCGTGAAACGTATAACTGCACAATTATCCACTTTAAGCTGCCTCTTCCAGCTCCCTGCTCAACCCAAGAGGCTATCTATATCTTCTTGAAATCTCTCTCAATTTTTCATGCTGTTTGTTAAATTCTTGTTATGCCCCAGCCACATCAGCATCACTATGTTCATTACCCACTGTGGATTCCATGGTTATTTGAAGGACCTTGTATATAAATGATGCCACATTTCCCCGCATATGTACAGTGGCTGCCCTAGAAATACTTCAGTTGGCCATGAAATGATTTGGGATGAGCCACGGAGCTTTATAAATCCAAGCTACTTCCTTTATCAGCACAATTTGAGAATGTGGGTGCTCCTGGAGTCTTATATGAGACTGAAATAAGGGATCAGCTGTGACACAGTCTAAATACAAGACCAGAGCTTTCTCGTTTGTGTGTGATAAGCACGCAGCTCCTGAAGCCAAGCTGCTTAAATAGAGGGGAAGTGCAGCACATTGCATAATGGGATAATCTACTGGAACAACAAGATAAAGTGCTGCCTGAGGACATGCACACTTCTATTCTTCCAGCCCATTCAGTTCCCAGGCTGCTGCAGGGTGAGCCAGGGTGCAGGCCAGGTGCTTAATAATAGGGGAAGTATGAATACTCGCAGAATGAACAGAAATTGATTTAGATCCACAATACAATTATGAAAATGATGAGTTTGAATAGCTTGCTTTCCTATTTCAAGAGCATTCTTCGTCTGCAATGCTCAGAAGAATAATTATTTGAGTCTTTTAGAACATTGTTGACAAGGCTTATTCCTAGTTGCCCTTCAAAAAGTAGTGGTGAGCTGCCTTCTTGAACCACTGCAATCCAGGTGCTGTGGTTTTTTTTATTTCTTCCTGGGATGTGGGCATTGCTGACTGGGCCAGCATTTATTGCCTATCCATAATTACCCTGGAGGTGATGGTGGGGAGCTGCCTTCTTGAACTACTGCAGTTCATTAGGTTTGGTAGACTCTCATATTGTTAAGGATGGAATTCCAGGATTATAACTCAAATGACAGTGAAGGAACAGCAACAAAATACCAGGTTAGAATGGTGAGTGCCTAGATGGGCAACTTGCAGATAGTGATGTTTTTGTGCATCTGTTGACCTAGTGATGGAGCTTGTGGTCTTGGAAAGTGCTTTTGAAGGAACCTCGGTGAGCTACTTCATTGCATCTTGTAGATGGTATACACTGCTGCCATTGTACGTAGATGATGATGGAAGTCCACATTAAAAGTGGTGAATGGGGTGCTAATCAAGTGAGCTGATTTATCCTGGATGGTGTTGAACCTCTTTACTGGTGCAGCTGCAATCATCAAGGTAAATGGGATGCATTCCATCATACTCCTGACCTGTGCTTTGGAGATGGCAGACAGGCTTTGGAGAGTCAGGACGTGAGTTACTCACTACGATACTCCTAGCTTCTGACTCGCTCATGCAGCCCCTGTATTGAAATGGCGAATCCAGCTCAGTTTCTGGTAAATGGCAACTCCCGGGATGTTGATAGTGGGGGATTTAGTGATGGCAATAAACATGGAATGTCATGTTTCATACATTGACATCCACAAGTTGAATTAGACAACAAAATATTTCGAAGATTTCCAAGTGCTTTTTTTGTGCAAGTCTATAGTTGAGCACAAACATCAGCTTCACTTTTCCCTTCTGGAGTCTTCCCCTATTGAGAAGCCAACATTCCACTGAGAATGAACTCAGCTCTTAAATATAAATCAACTGAGTTTCACCTGCTTTGGAGCTCTCCCACTTAAACCTTAAGAGGGCTTGCATTTGCAAATCTGACACATCAAGGGTAAAGGTAAGATTCTTATTTGAAGGTGGTTACTGCTTGGTATTGTGTGGCGCGAATGTTACTTGCCACTTATAAGCTGAATGTTGTCCAAGGTTTGCTGCGTATGGACATTAACTTCAATTTTCCCAGAGCGCTGTTTGGGAAGGAGATCCAGGTTTTCAATAGAGAAGTAATAGTGGAGGGGAAAAGGAATGTTGCGGAGTTCCCACTATCTGCTGCTCATGTTCTCTAAGTGGTAGACGTTAGGAGTTCAGGACACGATTGTGAAAAGAGTGATTTGAAACTCACTATTCTGGTTGAGTGCAGTAACTACACATTGAGAGAGTTGGGAAGGAGCCAGGATCAACAATGCTGAGTGACTAACTGACATGGACATTTATTTATACAGATACACATGTAACAGCACAAGAGTTAAGAATTGGATTGCTTGCACACAGATGAAATCACTTGCATGCATCTGTTTCCTCCATTGTCGAGCTGTTTTGTCAAATGAAAGTACCTCTCAAATTTAGCAACTTTATATAGTACCTTCAAAGTGCGGAGATGTGAGTGGTTTACCATATTAGGACTCATGAGTTAGATAGGAGTCATTTATACAGGGTGACTCTCTCCACTAACAATATATTTTCATGCTGGATAACCCCACAACACTCTCCATATTTCACAATCTCTCTGACCAGGGTTAGACTGCTAATTTGCTCAGAATAAGCAGGAGTTTGGTGTTGCAATTGTGCCATGTGGAGACTTAGAAGTCAGATCTCTTTGAAATTATTCAATATGTGACTTTGGACAGAAGACTAAATATTCCTAAATAAGTACCAGAAGGGGAAGGAACAAAGTAATGAACCACAGCAGGAAGTATTGTTAAATGAAGGGTCTTCAAACAAAAAAAAGGATTAGCCTCAGAGATAACATGTTCAAGTCAGACTTGCGTAATATTTAGGTAATGGTTTTGTAAGCAACCTTTCTCACTCACAAATCACTTTGCAAGAGATACAAATGATTCTCACCTGCATGACACAGTGCTGGATATGATCTTCTGTGGTTAAGGCCACAAAGTAGTCGTGCAGTGCACCAAGTTCCTGCATACAATAAGAAACATTATTATAATGCACATTAGGAGCTACACAAAAGAAAAGTCAATTCGTTTGCAATGAACTAAAGCTTGCCACCACGCAGACTCAATTAAGGTAAAGCTGTACGGTCTGAAAGAGGAAAGTATAGAAGGATAGGTTGATAGAATGAGATAAACTGAGTTGGGAGAAGACAGAAAATCATGAGCCAAGTGGTCTGCTTCAGTGGTAAAATTTTACTTTGATCAATACGAAATCTAACCTGAACCAACATTTTTTCAGAGATAGTAAGACCTACAGATGCTGAGTGAGAGATAACACAGCGTGGAGCTGGAGGAGCACAGCAGGCCAGGCAGCATCAGAGGGGCAGGACAGTTGACGTTTCGGGTCGGGACTCTTTTTCAGTCCCATTTCTGAAGAAGGGTCCCGACCCGAAACGTCAACTTTCCAACATTTTCCAGTTCCTCCTCACATGGACTTGTATAATTTTTCTACTGTAGTATGGCAGGACTCAACTTTCACTACCTGGGTTCAGCTCACTAACAGGAAGTGCAGTATCTGAGACACAAGTGATACAGCAGAGCTAATATATTGCAACAGCCTCACTTATTGACACGAGGGTGAGGGAGTGGGGGAGTGAATTCCAGGAACACAGACTGGGGCATTATTCTATCTAGATATAAAATTGTGTGCGCATTCAATACTGGTTGCACTCTATAGCTTAGTTTTAATTACAACAGTGGTTTCCCAATGCAAATCTAGGCACAGCCAACATCGCATCTGCTTTAGCTAGTGGCTCTGGCACTCGCTGGGTACTGTGTTCTTTGTGTGTTACCTTCCTCAGAAGGCTTTCTTTGACACTGAAACTGCAAGCTCGCATTTGCTGGCTGAAACGGAAATTCAGTGTTCAAAAGGCACCAGGAACTAAGGCAACTGGTAAAATCTTAATAGTTTTAACATAGCTTATTATTGCACATCAATATTCACATATTTACATATTTACATCAGCAGAGAGTCTTGCAGGTGCATTATTTGAATTTACACCTCTATGATATTTATTATTTCAGAGCAAAATTCCACCAACTGTCCAATTAAGACTACCCAAATTATGAATACACTAAACCTGTTTGTTTTAAAAGGAATCTGATTAAAAAGGTCTAAATAAAATCTGCTTCTTGGCAATATCCACAATTAGTCTCAGCTTCCTTTAAGGCAGACTGTGCTAAAGGAGGCTCCCTACATCACTGAAAATTGAGCTGTACAAGATGCTGTGGTTTGCATGCATTTCCTCTGTACTGCGACCAGTGTGCTGTACAACAAAAAGGTAGCAATTCATTCCTTTCAGCCAATCCTTATTCAATTTAAACTACCTCTCTTCAACTGGACTTGAAATACAAACAAATTCATTAGGAAGCTTTTAATCGGGAAACCAGATAATCTATTACTTACCTTTAAAGACTTCTAAAGGAAGTAAGTTAGTATGGGAAGATAAATAAGAGAATGCAGATTTCACTGGCTTGTTGCTAGTGTGTAGGCTGCTCCTGGTTGCTAAGCGGGTGCTGTTAAGGTTTCTTCTTTGAATTGGTTCTGGCTGTCACACGGAGGCTGTTGTGTAGCAAAGTGGATCCAAGGTGTTCACAAGCATTGTCATAGATGAAAAGGTTGATTTTCGCATTCCTCAGTGAAGCATTAAAGAGAAGCTGCAGGCAGGGGGATATTAGGTAGAGTACTCCA